CATTTTTTCACATAGATTCGTTGCAGTGACAAATGCTCAGTGCATTACAAATTCATCCTTTTTTTTAGATTTCCGAATGCATTTGCGGTGGTGCGTTCGGAATGGCAAGAAAGCAGTGCTGATGCTGTCGAAATGCTGATAAAAACCTGTAGATTTGAACAACATGAGGTATTTTTTTTGCGGCAGAATTCTCACATCTGTTAACATTACCAAAAGTGTTACGCCCAACTTTTGTCCCGGTAACTCAAATTTTTTACTTTTTTCTCTGTTTTTTTTATACTTCGTTTTCTCAGCGAATTTTTCATTTAAACCCTTACGCTTTCTAATTAATTTTATAACATGGATTTTCTGCTAATTTCTAAATTTCTGTGCCGAAATTTCACTGTTAGATCTTGGGGCTGATGACCCGATTTGCATTTGCTTTCTTCTAGCATGCATAACATCTTGGGCTAAGTGCGAATTTCTTCTGTTGCACCACCAGTATCAGAGTGATTGAGCGATTTAGAATGTAATTTGAGTAATTAAACTTCATGTGATCCTGCCGCATTTTTCAGATTGAATGCTTTGAAGCACCGATAAAGGAGAAAAGAAAGCGGAGTCGGCATCGGAACAGTGCGCGACATAGTACAGATGAAGGAGAAGATGATCCCTCGTCATCGTCTGGTGTGCTCGAACCTCCCGTAAAGAAAAAACGCCCAGAGGAAATTAAGGTAGTGATTTTAAGTAATCTCTGCACATGCTCTGTGTGTGAGTGTACGGGCGCGTGTGAATGGGTGTGCGGGCGTGTGGGTGCGTATGGGCGTGCGTGGGTGTATGAGTGTGCGGGTGTGTGGGCACGTGGGGTGTATGGGCACGTGGGGTGTATGGGTTTGTGTGGGTGTATGGATGTGTGTGTGGGTATGTGGGTGCGTGTGGGTGTATGGGCGTGTGTGGATGTATAGGTGCGTGTGGGTGTATGGGTGTGTGTGAGTGTGTGCGGGTGTGTGTGGGCGCATGAGTGTGTGTGGGTGTGTGGTTGTGCGGATGTGTGTAAGCGTGTGAGTGTGTGTGTGGGTGTATGGGTGCGTGTGGGTGCGTGGGTGTATGTGTGGATTTATGGATATTTGTGGGTGTATGGGTGTGAGTGAGCGTACGGGGCGTGTGTGGGTGCGTGTGGGTACGTGGGTAAGTGTATGGGCGTGTGCAGATGTATGGGTGTGTGTGGGTGCATAGGCTTGTCTGTGGGTGTATGCGGGTGCATGGACGTGCGTGGGTGTATGGGTGCGTGTGCGAATGTATGGGTGTGTATGTGGGTGTATGGGTGCGTATAGGTGTATGCGTGTGTGGGCGTATGGGTGTGTGCGGGTGTGTGGGTTTGTATGGGTGTATGGGCGTGTATGGGTGTGTGTGGGTGCATGGGTGTGTGGATGTATAGACGTGTATAGGTGTATGGGGGCGCGTGGGTGTACGGGTGTATGTGTGGGTGTACAGGTGTGCTTGGGTGTGTGCGGGTGTATGGAGTGTGAGTGTATGGACGTCTGTGCGTGTGTGGGCATGCGTAGGTGTGTGTTGGTGCACGGGCGTGTGTGTGTGCGTGGGCGTGCGTGGGTGTATGGGTGTCTGTGGGTGTATGTCTGTGCTCGGGTGTATGGGTATGCGTGGGTGCAAGGGCGTGCGTGCATGGGCGTGCGTGTGTGTGGATGTATGGGTGTGTGTGGGTATGTGGGTGCATGGGCGTGTACGGGCGGGCGTGTGGGTGTGTGTGTCTACGGGCGTGTCTTGGTGTAAGAGTGCGTGTGGGTGTGTGGTTGCGTGTGGGTGTGTAGGTGCCTGTGGGTGTATGGGCCTGCGTGAATGTATGGGCGCGTTTGGATGAATGGGTGTGTGTGTTGGTGCGTGTGGGTGTATGGGCGTGTGCGGTTGCGTGTGGGCCTATGGACCTGTGTGGATGGATAGGGGGTGTTGGTGTATAGGCGTGTGTGGGCGTATGTGTGTGGACGGGTGTGTGACTGCACGGGTGGGTGTATGGGTACGAGTACATGGGCGTGCGTGGGTGTATGGGTGCGCATGGGTGCATGGATGTGTGGGGGCGGGTGTATGGGTGTGTGCGGGTGTGTGGCTGCACGGGTGGGTGTATGGGTACGAGTACATGAGCGTGTGTGGGTGTATGGGTGCGCGTGGGTGCATGGGTGTGTGGGGGGCGGGTGTATGGGTGTGTGCGGGTGCATAGCTTTGTGCGTGTGGGTGGATGTATGCGGGTGGGTGTATGAATGTGTTTGGGTGCGTGGGTGTATGGGTGCTGTGAGTGTATGAGCGTGTATGGGCGTATGGACGTGTGTGGGTGCATGGATGTGTGTGAGTGTATAGGCGTGTGTGGGTGTATGGGCGTGTGTGGGTGTACAGGCGAGTGTGGGTGTACGTGTGTGTGGGCGTGTGGGTGTGGGTGTGTGCATGGGTTTGTATGGGTGTGTGTGGGTGCTCGGGTGTTTGCGTGGGTGTATGGGTGTGTGTATGTATGTGCGTGACTGTGTGAGTGCGTGTGGGTGTATGGGTGTATGTGTGGGTGTATGGGCGCATGTGTAGGTGTATGGGTGTGTGGGGGTTTGCGTGAGTGTGTGGGTGTACGGGCGTGCTTGGGCGCATGGGTGTTT